CACTAACATTTTTCTCAAGAATTACATCGTACTTTCAAAAACGGGTTATCCCTAGTATAAAAGTAAAATAACACCGTTAATGTTTATCATAAGATTATACTATATATATATATATATATATATATATATATATATATATTTTAATAAACTCATCCGACGATTTCAAATATGCTCATTCAACGACCATTAACATTCTTATCAAGAATTACATAGTACCTTAAAGAACGGGTTACCCCCAGTATAAAAGTAAAATAATACCTTTAATGTTTTTCATAAGATAATATATATGTGTCACCATCATGAAAAATTTTTGATTTTTGATTTTATCCATAATTATTTTTATAAGGTCGATTATACCCTTTTATGTAGTTTCATCTTTTTTTTTTTTTACTTTTATTTGACTTTTAACTAGTTTTGAATTCTTTTATAAAAACTTATAAATTTTTTTAAACTCATTTATTACAAATTCAATTATATACAAAACATGTTAGTATGCAATAATATACTAATATTATTAACTATCTAATCAATTTATTTAAGAAATTAAAAAATAATAATCTACAATATAAAACATGATAGATTTCAATACGTTTATCCAACAGTTTCAAATAAACTCATCCAACAGCCACCAACATTCATCTCAAAATTATTTACATTGAATTTTTTTCTCCAAATTCATCACTTTTTACTTATATTGCACTGTGCATTCAGATACAGGTTACTTCTAATTTTATAATATAATTAGACTAGTTATTACTTGTTCATAAATGCATAGAATAATAAAAAATAGTAAACAATAAACATATTTGTATTAATATTTAAAATTAAATCACAAACATAGATAAGAGATAAATGAATTTAAACATCGATTTATAGTGAGAGTAAGAGGTGGCGGGCGACAGTGGTAATGATAGAAGACGATGATAGTTGTAGTAGGTGACAATGACTGCAGCGACGATGGTGGTAGTGGTGACAACGTTGACGATGGTGGTAGTGGCGACGACAACAGCAGTGGTGGCAGTAGCGGCGGCGATTATAGTGACGACGGTGATTGTAAAGGTAGTAATGGTGAGGGTGGGGAGTGGTAGAGGTAGTTGTAGGACGGTTTCAAACACTATTTTTTTTAAAAGTACTTATGAGAAATAATTCTTATAAATATTTTTAAAAAGTCACTCTAAACACGCCCCCTAGGGCCATATTTTTCCTATTAAATTTAGGGCGTTAATATTAGTCATTAGATTAACTTTAAAATAAAATTTAAAACGATCTGAACTGTGAAAAATAAAAATAATCTTGTTTATCTTTTAAAATTTGAATTGTAAATACCTAAATGAGTTAGATTGATATACTTAAATAAATGACTGATTATATATTTTAAGTCTTATAGAATAAATTAATAATTAAATATAACAATAATTAAAATACTAACAAATTATTTAGTATATAATTTATTATTTAATTTAATTACACATATAATTCACATTTTTTATAAAAAAATATTATTTCAATTTGTTTACNCTCTCAAAGCTTGTATCTCCATTCTCCATACCTTTGAACCAATAAAATACCCGGCAACTGAAGCCATTGAAGAGTGGACGTAGGTCGAATTGACCGAACCACTATAGATTGTGTCTTCTTTAATTTTTTCATTGATTTTATTGCATTTATTATCTACACTTGACAGGTAGTGTGCAAAACCATTTTTGTGCATCATCAGGTATGAACAACATTAAATATCGAGTCTCATTTTTTGGTCAAACCCGGGTTTGGACAATCTAATTCAAACCCTTCCTAAAAAACATACCAAACAAGTTCTAAAAGATTATGGAAGAACGCCTAATTTTACTTAAAAGATTAACTAATAAAAATAAACTACTAATTGACTGCCAACANAAACCTATGTTTTTTTAAATGTTAAATCACCATATTCCTAGATTCTAGCTTCTTCGCACCAGCTGTGTTGGAGGCGATGTAATCTAACAAGGTGGAAGTGTGTGTAGTTTGAATTGCATAGTTAAGCGTACATACTACTGAATTACAGTATCTCTTTGTAAATCATGTATGAAAGATAGACACACACATTAGAAAAGAAAAATATGATGAAACCATAAGGGTTGTTTGGTATGTGGTTTTGGGGGGTTTGAGAACATAGATTGGAGAGTAAACCCCGTTAAACCTATGTTTGACAATTATAAAGCATGAATATGATTTTAAACTCGGCCCCGGTCATAATCCGATCATGAAACCCACATACTTGGGTTTCATGAAACCCAAGGGAGGGTGAGTTTTATTTGTGGGTTTGGGGGTTTAATATGTAAATGACATTTATACTCTTATATATCTCATATATATAAATTGGTTAAGAGGCACAATAGTCATATATATACAAATATATTATTAAAATAATCATATATCCCTGCGCATACCAAACATAGGTATGAACAACATTAAATATCGAATCTCATTTTTTGGTCAAACCCAGTTTTGGACAATCTAATTCAAACCCTTCCTAAAAAACATACCAAACAGGTTCTAAAAGATTATGGAAGAACGACTAATTTTACTTAAAAGATTAACTAATAAAAATAAACTACTAATTGACTGCCAACAAAAGCAGAGGACACCAAATCTCTTGTCTTCCTTTATTAATAGCATACATTATTTTAAATTTATATATTTTATGTTTTAATTGATAAATTTTTGATTTCATAACTAAACTTAAAGGTTACGACAATGGCTTGAGCCAGAATTCCGACATCCAATAGGATGTTGTTACTTCGGCCACAAGCCCATCGTAGTCAACCTACTTTTTATTTNTTATAAAGCATGAATATGATTTTAAACTCGGCCCCGGTCATAATCCGATCATGAAACCCACATACTTGGGTTTCATGAAACCCAAGGGAGGGTGAGTTTTATTTGTGGGTTTGGGGGTTTAATATGTAAATGACATTTATACTCTTATATATCTCATATATATAAATTGGTTAAGAGGCACAATAGTCATATATATACAAATATATTATTAAAATAATCATATATCCCTGCGCATACCAAACATAGGTATGAACAACATTAAATATCGAATCTCATTTTTTGGTCAAACCCAGTTTTGGACAATCTAATTCAAACCCTTCCTAAAAAACATACCAAACAGGTTCTAAAAGATTATGGAAGAACGACTAATTTTACTTAAAAGATTAACTAATAAAAATAAACTACTAATTGACTGCCAACAAAAGCAGAGGACACCAAATCTCTTGTCTTCCTTTATTAATAGCATACATTAATTTTAATTTATATATTTTATGTTTTAATTGATAAATTTTTGATTTCAAAACTAAACTTAAAGGTTACGACAATGGCTTGAGCCAGAATTCCGACATCCAATAGGATGTTGTTACTTCGGCCACAAGCCCATCGTAGTCAACCTACTTTTTATTTATTACGATAAAACCAAATTCCTCCCAAAGTAGGTCCCACAAAGATTTGTGAAAAAGACATTTATCACAATATGTTCCTTTTCCTTACTTTTTTTTTTTAATTTTTTTCCACCTTTCTTCGTTTTTTTTTTTTTAATTTAACCAATAGCTATCACCTGTCGAGCATCATTTCTCGGGACCTTTGGTGTCTCCGCGGAAATTCATGTGGGACACAATAATTCTCAATAAAATTAAGAACAAATGACACTTTATACCTTAAAATATTTTTAATATTTTAATTTATAATATAGAAAATTAAAATTTTCATATTAAGCTTTTAGTAAAATAAAAAAGATAGTAATGTAACCCAAAATCAAATGTTCATTGTATTTTTTGACAATTTGTTTTTGTGGTATTTATTGTATTATCTTATTTATATACATAATTATTTACAGAATACTCCATTTCAAGTGTTTTCTTTTTTAAAACGGAAAACATAATTAGATTGAGGGTGCAATATAGGAATTTTAATTTTTTAAGGTGTAAATTGACAATACAAAAATCTTTCGATATATAAAATGTTATTTACTTGGTGCAAAACATGTTGACTAAAAATATTTAGTAAATGAGATAATTCAAAATCGAAAATATATAACAAGAATTAAATTATACACGATTTGAATACGATACAAACGAACTAAAAACAAATACAAAGGACTAATCTAACAATTTTAACATTGGAGGTAAATTCAATACGACAAGATCCAATAAAGACCTAGTTATATAAGTTTCCCTAGGTGCAAAGAGTTTTTGTGTAATGACATAATTACTTAAAAATCTATAATATAAAACAAGACAAATTTCAATAAACCCATCCACCGATTTCAAAAAAACCTATCGAATGACTACCAAAATCTTTTTCAAAACCATTCACATTGATTTACGTCGAAAATGCACAAATTACCCTAGAAGTTTCGAATAAAGCCCATCACAATTAGGTTCCACTTATGCAAAAAAATATGATCAATAATACTACACTTATCAAATTTTGAGACCAAATTTAAAATTCAAATAACATGACAATTGACTTGGACTTCTTTATTTACTACCATATCATTTACGTCCCAATAAAGACTCTAAATAATATGTTATTATGTTATTTAAAATTTAAATTTAGTCTCACAATTTAATTAGCTTAGTATTACTGAAATATGATTTGTGACTTCTCACAATCAAGATAATTACCAAAGAGTGAGTTGGGTGAAATGGGCCAAGTGCTTGGCTCATGAGTTAAGCAGATATGTTGATGTCAGCAAAAGTAGTCCAACACAAGTTCTAACCTGGTGACCCACGGGCCTTTATCAGTTCCAGCCCACATCCCAAGCCCATCTGAAACTTCTAAATGCAATGGCCTACTTCAAAGCCATCACGAGAGAATATTCAATATAACAGTGATCCTATATTATCATGCGTCGATATGTGATATCACTGCTTAATACCAAACCAACACATGGGCTGATGAATCCCACATACGCATATGTTACAGTTAGTACAATGGATGCGATAGTAATTAAACGGTGTAGAATTAACTTTGCCCATATATTGACTTATTATTGCAATGACGATATCACATTTCAATGATGACGCATTATACCCGTTGTATTGAATATTTACAGCAGTAAAGCAAGCCCAACAAAAGAGAGTTAAGGTAATGTAATACACAAAGTTAGAGAGCAGATGAATTATTTGAGAGAACCCATAAGAACACTTGCATACAAAAGTTCAGTCAGTGGCAGGGCCTTGAGACATAAATATCATTCTACAATGGCAAAAGTAAGACAGGGCAAGGAATGAACTCAGCTAGCAAGTTTGCATCCACATGCTTGGAATGGATGGCTTCCATGCTCATTATAACCAAGTCCAAATTCATGTCATCAGCAACCTCCCCAATTATGGCTGTTGGCTTGTTCCCTTCCCCTAGTCGCTCTAACAACTTAAACTCCTGGAATCCACCTATTAATTTTCCGAAAAAATAGAAACAATAATCAAAAACTGTTCATAAAGACGGATATCATAAAAGGAAGAATAAGAAGCATAAACTTGTCAAATGTTTAGAACACTATGAATTGATGCAGTACATAAGCGTTGCACCAAAAAAAAAAAAAAAAAGAAACAATAGAAAATTACAATTTACAGTAGATGTGAACAATAGTAAAAAAGTAAAAATAGGATTTCACAATCTATATTGGTCAGAAAAATATAATTGACCAACATTTTTATTACAACGATATCAAAAAGTGCGATAGAGAAAGCCAACTAAAGCAGAAACAGAATGATATTTTGATTGTCCATCTACTACAGCAGTGTAGTGGTTACTATCGGTACCTGACTCACATGCGCACACAATTTTCGTGCGCGCCCTACCTTGAGACATGTTTAGAGTACAGTACCGCAGGTTTCCCTCAACCTCAACTACAAATCTACAATTCATTGTCAATACTTACAGCTACCTGATAGGCACATAGTTACAGGACGTAGACCCACCTTCAGATAGATGCCAGCGGATGCTAGATAGCTGGGTGTCATGCTCAGGTAAGGATTCTTTTTGCTTTTCATCAATAACTGCAAAGAGCATAAAGTTCTACATTCCTTGAAATCTTGCACCCGAAAAGGGTCTGTAACATGAAAGGTGTTTATTCTACTAATGTTTCAACTGGAGGCGCACACAACACAACATGAACAAGGATTAGTGGACATACCCACGACAGTTATGTCAGCTCCATACTTATTTGCCAAAGCAGCAGTAGTTGCTGCAGCCTGTCAAAAGGATCAGAACCATGGGTGAATAATATCCAAAAGAAAGTAACAAGTCTACAAGGGACAATGATTGATCACAGTTGGCACTTAGTAATGCTGCCCGGTATGAAAAAAATAAACTCTCCAATTAGTTTGGGTATCATCCATCCCTCTAGAATTCCCATTACAATCATAAGTGAACTGGCATATCCTTTAAAATGTTATATTTCTTGAACAATCATAAGTGAACCGGCATATCCTTTAAAATGTTATATTTCTTGAAATAACCAGTAACCTTATAGGAATTGCAGGGAAAAAAAATAACCTTATAGGTCCAATGGGAGTCAAAATAAACCAAACACTCCAGTAAATTCAGGAGAGAGATTGATAGATTGATAGAGACGCCAGAAAATTGTTTACACAGGATCTACGACCTTAATGCTAGGTAGGAGTCATCTTCGATATGCATTGGTTTCACCATTAGCCCATTTCTTTAAGCGATGGTTTCACTTAATACTAGAATCTAAATGGATGAGAGCAATTTTCAAACTACATAGCATATGAAGAGGTGAATGAGGTAGATCAGTATAATATATCTAGTACAATTGACCCAGATATTGTGCAGGTAATATTTAATAGAAAATCACATCGTGTTTTACATCTTTTAAGGACTAACAAACTCAAACAAACCACCATATACAGAATTCATCGGATATCATTACAATGTGACATGTATAATGAGATGACACTGTCTGCACTTAGCACTCACACAACTTTTGGATATCATTTCCGTGCATGTTTTGAGATTTGTACTGATCAATGCTATGACAATATCTGGTTACTACATAATTAGCACTGACATGCAACATTTGATTTCATTGCATGTTCTGATATTCATATAAGAAAAATTATCTTGTTATAGGGCTTATGAAGCATCTTAAGGCCAATGATTGCTACATCAATGCATTCGTATGGATTGCAGAGGATCCTAGTTCACATACATTGGAGGATGCATTTCAACATTAAAGCCAGGAAACATATCTAGCAAACATGCTTCTTAAGTTGTACTGAATAATTAGTGCTTTCATTGGAAAAAAAAAATTTCAGGGACTCAACTATTTAGCCACAGGGTGCTAAAATGTTAATGACCCTTCAAAATCCCTCCAGCCCCCCTTAAAAAAAATAAAGGAACCACCTGTCTTGTTCCCTCAGAGAGAAAAGGATTCCGGTCTGTGATTGGCAGAAGCAGATGCTTGAATTGAGTAAAGGAGTCTGGAGCTGGACTGACTTCAGATTCTTGTGGCGTAGCCTTTGCTGTGAACAATTAGAGTGTAAGAACTAAGTACCCAACCATAAATAAAGTGAGCAGAGACTTGATCTATTAAGCCAAAATCGCATGCGAAGATATATAGACATGAAAAAAAATAAAGACACTTATGAGCATCATTACTAATTCAGACTTGTAAAGTCATCCCTTTTCCAGAAATCTGATGGTGGCTTTTATGAACATCATAAATAACTTTAAACTCCTTTTCAATCTAGATAAGCCTGCTCTAGATACTGATATCAGTGTAATTGAAACTTTTTTCCCTGGTTACATGACTGATAGCTTCAAATTTGGATTTCTTGGTAGATTAAAAATTCATTATCCAAATGACAATTTGACTCAGGCTTACTAGGTGCCTAGATTCTCAGATTCACTGTTCCCACGTAAACTACAATTCAAATCCATTTGTCCTCATGTTGATATTTGAATCTTTTTCTGATCAATCCACAGTTCCACACTGTCAGGGGAAGATATTGTTCAAACATATGCTATGGGTTATGAAGACCAATACTCATATTTATCTAGAATTTGTACATTGGTGCAGGAAAGATGACTAATATCAAAGTTTTTCAAGGAAGCTCTAACTGCAAGAAGGAAGAAGTACAACACCGATTGTCATCACCTTCGCACAAAAATTACTATTCTGTAGAATTTGAGATCCCTTTAGAAATTCTTTACTGATATCATCATCAATTATTTCAATTTTGCAAACTTCTTTAACTAGATTAATTTTGTAATGTATATAAATTATCTCCACTCTATTCACTGTAACAGACTCCACAGTCCACAGGAAAGGAAAAAAATAAAATAAAAGAAAGATCTATGCAGTTAAACTAATAGCACGCATTGCAACATTGTTTACATCACAATCTGCCAGTTATCCATAAAGCTTGGAGGTATTTTATTAGCTACACATTTTCATAAATATAGACAAAACAATACATGCTCACCTCATAATCTGACCATTCATTAGCTAAGAATCACAGGTGGGCCTCATTCCGTCACAAATATATCTCAGAAAAATACGATTAATTCCAATTAAAAGATACAATATGGACAATGCATAAGGAAACACAACACATAATGTGGATCAGACACAACACACTGAGGATGTGTGGGGGTAATAAAAATATTACTCAAGGAAACACAAATTCAGTACATCATATTAGGCGTAATCTACATATGATGCAATCCAGATGACAAAAGATATGATGCAATTTAAAAGAACTATCTGAGATCTTTCAATGAATGTTAGTGTCAGAAATGTGACAACAATAATAATGTTCATTCCAACTCAATTGTTTAGATGACACCTCACAACAGTTTAGCCAAGAATCTGCCAACCAATTCAAGCAACTAAAATTTTTCCATAAAAAAAAAAGGAGTAATACCAGTTGAATGATCAATTTGCTCTCTATCGTGGACTTAAACTTAATTTATAACCAGGTCCATCCATATAAGTTCTTCAACAATTCATTATCATNATGGAGTAATACCAGTTGAATGATCAATTTGCTCTCTATCGTGGACTCAAACTTAATTTATAACCAGGTCCATCCATATAAGTTCTTCAACAATTCATTATCATGACAAATGAACTGATTTCAGATAGTCAATTAATGAATTCTAAACAGCCTTTTTTTTCACCCTTCCAACTGAAACTCTCTAAACCACAACAGAAGTCATACTCATGGCCATCCACAGTAAAGACAGTAATTACTAGCAAATAATGCCTCCTTTCCTAACTTCCACACCTAATTTTTTGCAAGATTTCAGTAATGGGAGCTACTGACTAGAAATTGCCAGTGTTGCATAGATCCCACCGGGTTTTGGGGGGCTGTCATACTGAGTGATGGGATTTTCTTACTTAATTCGAAATAAGTTGAAAAATAAATAACAATAATCCCAAACAAGAAACATTCTCCTACAGAAGTAGACAAAAGACGAAACAAGAGAGCATTAAAGCGAGACAAAAAGGAATAACATACCTTAGTGGTCGTCTGATAAATACAACAACTGAATTGAGTGATCAGTTGTTTAAATTATAATGCTGTTAAAATTTAGGCCATCAAAATTCATATAAATCTTATGTCTCAACCTTCTAAAGACAATATATTCAAGTGTTTGCAAGCGTCCATATATTCAGATATTCCAAAGTCTTCCACTCTGAAAGAATATTAAGAATCCCGATTCTGTGTCAATCAATTTCATAGGCCACCTTCAAAAGTTCTATAATTGTAGATGGTCAACATACGGATGCAAACTATAATAATTTCAATTCATGCCAGCAAGTAAGTAATTCCCCTTCTGAACCCAGCATTTCCCATAACCTCCACAATCACCCACCCCACAGACATAAGATTCCAAAATATTGCAAGTCACTAAACAGGCTGAAGCGGCAAAGCTTATGCTCCAGCACCGCGTATCAATCAAAATTGGCAAGTTTGTCATAGCTTGACATAAAATTAATTAACAGAAACAGTTTAAGCAGATACTAGTAGAGCAATCGAAACGTTTTGAGTAGGCCGAGAACCCAAAATGCCCCGAACCAGAACTACAAGCAGAAAACAAGTAAAACAACGAAAAACCAATAGTAAAAAAAATCGAAATCACCTCTGTCTCCGATTCTGCAGAGCTTGGGAATGATAGAGAGTTTACGATCCTTTGACTCGAGAGAAGAATGAGTAGAAGAACAAGAATAAGATAATGCTACTGAAAATACAGAGCCTGAAGATGAAGAAAAAGAAGAAGAAGAAGCCGATGGCGATAGCGATGTCAATAATGACGGAGCGAGAATAGATTTTTTGTGAGAAATTGACGTTTCGACGGGCACGGCTAGTAGATAGTGAACAAAGGCCATGGAAGAACTGAGACTCAACCCTCTATCTCTGTGATTAGTTTGGGGTGGGTTCGAGAAGCAGCGAGAATGGACAGTATAATTAAAGGGAGCATGGAGTAGAAGATGATGGGTGAGATTGATTACATGGGTGCGATGTGTGTCAAGGTTGATAGTGTTGGCGTTTCTAGTGGGACCATGTTGACGAATGCCCTTCGATTTAGAATTCATCTAGTCTGATGGCCGCATCACCAGCACTAGGCAGGCAAATATTTTTGGTAAATTACACTTATGCTGCCTGATAGGTACATCTATAGAAAAATTGTAATTTTCTCATATTTTTTAAAAATGATACAAAAATCCCCCCCGTTTCATTTAATGATTCATAGATATAAGTGATTTTGATGAAAAAATTAATTTATTTTGCTGTTGATTAATTAAAATTAAATTACAAAACATAGGGAGAACATTGATAAACCCCAATTCTTAGATGATTGATAACTTTTTTTTGTATCTAACTAACCCGGTTAACAAAACTAAATCCGAGATCGAGCCAAGTTTAGTATTTTATAAAATTAGTGAGTTTTAAAGTTTACCTTGTTTATTACATGAGTTGATCTTGAAAGCACTTTGTAAAAAATTTATTTAAGGGCGAACCCCAATAACAACATATTTTATAGTTTTTATGTCAATTTTTATAGTATCGAGCTATTTTATAAAATTTATTCCTCTCGTACTCGGGCTAGTTTATACATATTTCGATTAATTTCTTCAGCAATCTAGTAAAAAGCAGACCATTCACATTGATATTAGGATATTCATCCATTAATTATCATGACCTAGTACTCAGGCTAATTTATACATATTTTGATTAATTTTCTTCTCCGATATAATAAAAAGCAGACCATTCACATCGATATTAAGATATTCATCCATCAATTATTATGACCTAATATCAAAAGATTACCAATATTCGAACTCAGAATATTTGTATTATAAAAAAACACCTTATAACTTCTTCAAGCCTCTCAAATTTATACTCAAATTTAAATTTGAGTCAAAATAATTCAAAAAAATTCTTGAACCTTAGATCCAAATTTATACGAAATTAAAAAAAAAACTTATAATGAATCCAAATTGAGGTAGACTCAAATTCTATATTAAATTTTAAACGATAATTGTTTCTCTTATCTAAACCTAAAAGGCTCTTTCAATTGGAACAAAATTATTGTCTCTATCTTCAATTTCGATTCCATACTGCTGACTACACCGCATATCATTGCTTCTATTATTTGACGGTCATTTTTAACTCACTCATTATATATCACTCAAAAAGTTGGTATTCTGCTTTTTCTTTTAGTTAATGTTAATTAAATTTGTAAAAAATAAGTTTTAATATTGGATAAAATAATTTGGGGGAAAAGTTTTAAAAAATAAGCATTAGGACAGAAAGAATTTTTTTTAAAAAACTTGAATGAATATTTGAGTTTGTCAATTAAAATATTTTATATCAAATAATTTTTTTTTTATTCAAATTTAACCTCAAATTTAAATTTTAGTCATAATTGGATAGACTCTTGGGCCAAATCCTAATAAGTGGATATTTATCGGTTTATACTCGTTTCAAATCAGGACCCGGCCCGTATTTACCAAGTTCATTCTACAGGGAAGTAATCGGTGGCGACAATACTAGTAGGTAGCTCCACCATTCACCACCACGTCTAGGGTTTATATAGAGAGAAAGCGATAGATAAAGAACCTAACTCCACCATACTCTACTTGCGAACGCTATGGGATCCAAAAACAAGATGAAGAAAAATACGAAGAATGAGGCTGAAACGGCGGCGCACGGCGTCGGCGGCAACTACCATCGCCATGAAGACAAAATCATTGCGGACTCTCGGTTCGCGTCTGTACACTCGGACCCAAGGTTCCGGGAAGTTCCGAAGCACAAAACAAAGGTGGCGATCGACTCTCGGTTTAATCGCATGTTCAACGACAAGAGCTTCTCTTCGTCCAGTGCTCGGATTGATAAGAGAGGCAGAATTAAGAAGGAATCGTCTCAGAACCCTCTCAAACATTATTACCGCCTCGAAGAAGAAGAAGAAAAACAGAGAAAACGCCAAGAAGAAGAGGTTGAAAGTGAAGAAGAGACTGAAAGTGAGAGCGAGAGTGAGGAATTGAAGCAACTCGGTGAAGAATTGTGTGTCTCTGAATTGAGGAAAAGTGAACCAGAATCGTCTGATTTGGTATCGGAATCGGAGGAGGATGATGAAGAAAAAGAGGATGATGATGATGTGGAGGCGGATGAATCTTCAAGTAGTACTACAGATTCGGAGGAAGATGAGGTGTATTCGGAAGGAGAGGATAATTTTTTGCAGGTAAGCTGTTAAAGATTAATTTATTTTGCCACAAATTCAACGCTGTAAGATGAACAAGTTGAAATTCTGTCCGTGGAACAGGAGGAAAATGTACCGGAAACTGACAAAGAAACCCACAGGCTTGCTGTCGTCAATTTGGATTGGGGTCAAGTGGCGGTTTGTTATTGAACTCCTTTGTAATTGAATTTATATTTGTTTGTTGGAGTACCCAAGGTTTATAGTTGAAGATTGTGAACCAGTTTCAGGTATACTTGGGATATTTAAGTGTTGAATTTTAGTTCTTTTGAAACAAGCGGTGCTTTTGGAAAAAAATTACGGATTGTAGTTCGCACCTTCACAATGACTTTTAAATGAGCATATAG